CTCAGCAGCCTTCAGGCGGATCTGCTCGCGGATGATGTCTGCATTCTCGCGCTCGGCCTTGGCCCGGGCACGCGCCTCGGCCTCCACCCGCAGCATCTCGTTCTTGTGCCGCAGCTCCATCTCTCGCTCCACGGTGGCTTTCCCAGAAGAGAGGGACACAGTACTAAGTGTGAGACCCCGGGCTGCCGGCCCTCTGCTTGCTGGGCCCACCCCTGTGGCTGGTTCCCGACACAGGAGCCTGGAGTTCAGACCCTGAGACCCAGGCACCCCATCTCCCAGGAGTAGCTCACGCAAAACCTGGGGGTGCCCAGGACAGGGCAGTGCGCCCCAGAACGAAGAGCCCCAGCTCGGGTCTAAGGAAGTGCGGCACACAGAGTAGCGCCTACCCACCTGCTCGCCCAGCCGCTGGCCTCTCACGAGCCACGACCTCCTAGGCCCCCGAGACCCCTACCTCGCCTCATGGCCTCCTGCTTCTGCACAGACTCCTCCTGCTTCCGTAAATTCTCCTCGTTGAGAAGTTGCTGAGAAGAAGCAGCAGGAGAAAGGGAGGCCGTCACAGTGACGAACCAGCCAACATCGATCGGCCAAGAGTCGGCTGCTCCGGCCCTGGGAAGCGACCACCACCCCAGGCTCTGGCCTTCTCGGGACAGTTGGCGGGGGCCCTGCACACCCCACAGCCTGAGGCAGGCGGGTCTGGACCCGGCTGGGGACATACACGCTCAGAGGGGCCGGGTCAGACGCCCCCCACCCCCAGCACAGCCCGGAGCTGTCACGGTTGTCCACAAAACACTTGATTTTACCCGTTCGATTTAAAAGCTATAACACCCGTGACAGGCAGAAACATCTGACCCTCCCCATAAACCTGTCACAACCAGGTCCCCAGTCAGGTCCCAGCTGGGAGCACCCGAAGGGCGGTGGCGGCCTGCCTCTGCCGCACAGCACCGCGGGCCAGGGCCAGGAGGCGCATGCTCTCGGTGTCCGAGTGAAGCTCCCCCGGCACCCAGCACTTACTGCTGGGGAGACGGCCCACCCCGCCTTGACGACATGCGGCTCTTGGGGGTCGTGGCAGCGGCCCTGGCGGGCAGGTGTGCCAAGCTCACCTGCTGCTTCAGCTGGTCCTCGTAGCGCTGCCGGGCCAGCTTGTCCTGGTACTGGGCCCTCTAGGAGAGGGAGGGGGCCGCGTGAGCTCCGCTGCGCTGCAGAAGCCGGTGGGCGGGGACACCGCCGCCTGGCCCTCCACCCGGCTGGGCGCTGGGGTCTCTGACGG